TTTTTTGTTTTTTTTTCTCCCCGCAGGTTGTCCTCGCCATCCTGGTGCTGATACACTGGAACGCCTGCCTCTACTTTTGGATAAGCTACATCATCGGCTTCGGCACGGACAGCTGGGTGTACAACCTCAAGAACACGACGGCCCTGGACGACAAGAACAACACCCTGTCGCGGCAGTACATCTACAGCTTCTACTGGTCCACCCTGACGCTCACCACCATCGGTAAGTGCATCGGCTCAGGGTCATACTCAACAGCTCCAGCTTTGCATGAAAATACTGAAATTTTACATTTAAAGAAAAAAATGTTAAAAAAAACTAAAAATTGTTATGAAATTTAAGTTTGCCGCGGTCGTGACTGCCGAGAGATTGACACGTTTCTCTGGACGCGCAGGGGAGACGCCGCAGCCGGAGAACGACCTGGAGTACCTGTTCGTGGTGATGGACTTCCTGGCCGGCGTGCTCATCTTCGCCACCATCGTGGGAAACATCGGCTCCATGATCAGCAACATGAACACGGCGCGCGTCGAGTTCCAGAACCGCATGGACGGCGTCAAGCAGTACATGGCGTTCCGGCGGGTGTCCAAGGATCTGGAGGCCAGGGTCATCCGCTGGTTCGCGTACACGTGGGCGAACAAGCAGGTCGGCGTCGTGGTGGTCGTGGCCCCCGGAGTGTTGTCGCCTTCGCGCACCCTCCTTGTCTCACCCTCTGCACGCTCTGCTCCGACAGGCCCTGGACGAGGAGAGGGTGCTGGCAGCCCTCCCGGACAAACTCAAGGCCGAGATCGCCATCCACGTGCACCTGGAGACGCTCAAGCAGGTCGAGATCTTCCAGGACTGCGAGCCCGGCTTGCTGGAGGAGCTGGTCCTCAAGCTGCGGCTGCAGGTGACGTTTTGGCAGGGTTTGACCTTGAACTTGAACTCACGAGGCCGCAGCCCGCTGACTATCGCACGCGTGCGCAGGTGTTCAGCCCCGGAGACTACATCTGCCGGAAGGGCGACGTCGGCAAGGAGCTGTACATCGTCAAGCGGGGCCGACTGTCGGTCGTCGCGGACGACGGCTCCGTCGTCCTGGCCCGGCTGGGGCCCGGCTCCGTCTTCGGAGAGGTCGGTTTTAAACTTTCAGTAACTTTCGGGGGGCAACTTTCAGAGCAGCGGGTTCAAAGTTTGGCGCCGCCGAAAGGTCGGGCATGGCGCAGCACACTGATAAATTATTTCGTCTCAGGTGAGCGTGCTGGAGATCGCCGGCAACAAGACGGGCAACAGGCGGACGGCCAACGTGCGCTCGCTGGGCTACTCGGACCTGTTCTGCCTGTCCAAGAGCGACCTGTGGGCCGCGCTGGCCGACTACCCGGACGCGCGCCACTCGCTGCTCGAGCGCGGCTGCCAGCTGCTGCGCAAGGACCGCCTGCTGGACGAGGAGGCCTTCGAGCAGGCCAAGAAGGAGCAGGAGACGCTCGCCGAGCGCGTGCTCAGACTAGGTGAGTCACAGCAGGCTGCGAAGGGGGCTCGTGATAGTGTAAGAGTGTTCGTGCGTCGTGTAAACTCTGCTCCCCTGAGCTCCCCTCCAACGTTATGCTCACCACTAACGCTATGCCCCCTTACTAACGCTATGCTCCCGACTAACGCTATGCTCCCGACTAACGCTATGCTCCCCACTAACACTGCTCCTCTCTACCGCCCAGACGCGTCGCTCAACGAGATGAAGTTGCGGCTGAACCAGGCCGTGGCGGAGCTGGCCGGCCAGCACGTCCGCCTCAAGCAGCGCGTCTGCCGGGTGGAGGGCCGCCGGGAACGAGGGACCAGGTAGGCGTCGTTCTGTCCTGGTGGCCGCCGACGAGCGCGCAGCCAGCCCTCTCACCGCCGCCGTCTTTTTCCAGTTTACGGAACAACAGACACTCGCACTGCGAGTCCGCGTGCGACGACGCCGGCCTCCTGTGCTGCAGCGGCCGCGGCTCCCGGACGACGCTCGTCCCCGAGGACTCCATGGCGCCGCTGTCGGCGCCGCCCGTCGTCCTCCTGGGGGCGGCGTCGGCCTCGTCCCGGGCGTCGGCGGTCTCGTCCGTGGACACGGTGATCGCGGTGGGGGAGGCGGCGGGCCTGGCGGGCTCGGGGCTCGAGGCGCCCGGGCGGCCGGGCCTGGCGCCGACGCGCCGCTCCTTCCAGGGCGTCGCCGCCAGCCACGCCGCCACCTGCGACCACCAAACCAATTATCGCCGCAAGCTCAACAGCGTGTGAATCTGTACATAGGACGCTTTTATTTATTATCGTCGTTATTAACAGAAAATAAAGACACTAATTTTCTTCGTCTGCTTTTCCATCGATCCCGATTTTTGTTCTTGTGAACGTCCGTATAACTCACCTTGAATGAAGTTGAATAACATACGCTCGTTTTGGCGTTCAGTCTAGACAGGTTAGTTTGAATTTTTCATCCTGGTTGTGTGGTGCAGTCTTCGGTATGAATCCGTTTGAAAAGCTGCCTCTGTTTCTGTGGTGTGCTCGGTCCGCGGGCGACGCCGGTCTCGGTGGGCTCGGCCGTCTGCGCTGCGCCGCTGCCGGATGTGCCGCCTACCCACCAGGGGCCGCGGCAGGCCGTGCGCGCCGCGGGGCGCGACCGAGCCGGAGCGCGAGTTGGTTGCAAGGTGTGGGGGGGGCACTCCGATGCCAGACGTATACCGTACGAACGGCCGTTGCAACAAAGTGTGCCCCGCGCGCAATAACACAGAAAAACAGGTTGACATTCTGCGCGCGCGGCGCTTTACCTGCACTAGGGCACGAGCGAGCGAGCGAGAGAGCGAGAGAGAGAGAGAGAGAGAGAGAGAGAGAGAGAGATCGACAGAGCTGGTGGGGGTGAGGGGGGAAAGCAGTGCGACAGAAGCGGCTCTTCTCGCTCGCCAATCTAGACGACGGCGACGAAGACGGGCAGCATTAAGAGTTTAAACCTGAGGAGGGATATAGACACTCTGGATTCGCACTGTACAGGACAGGATGTCCCCAATCCCCCCGGGGCGCGGCGGAGCGGAGCCGATCACGGTCGCCGCTCTATTCATAGCCTCCCCCTTGCCGCTTCGCGACGCCGGACTTCTTTCTGCGCCGCCGCGGTGCCGCGCCGACTGCTGCTGCTGCTGCCGCTGGACCTCGTCGGCTTGGAAAATTAATGATGTGAGTCTGGTGGACCGTGGCGGCGTCGGCCCGTCAGGAGAGACTGGCAGACAGACCGACCCGACCGGACCGACGTTGAGCGTAGTTTTCCTCCCTCTTGTGTGTGTATATGACAAGTTGGCGAAACTGTTGGGTTGGGCATCAGAAGTGTCTCACGCAGGTTGGGGCCTGTGCGACCCCCCGCTGCTCCTTCGGGCTCTCTTAAACAGACCCAAATTACAATACGTATGTCATTATTCAAAGGCGCATTAACAAAAAACTAAATTGTTGTAGTTCTTTTCAATAACTTTTTCCGGCAACAAAACAATTTCTATAATTTATAGTTTCGGTACCTAGTCATCGCCCGTATTTGACTGACACGCGCCCTTCTCGACTCGGCGATGGACCCTATCGGCGGTGCGGTGCGGGACTAAAATGGAAGAGAGAAATTATGTCCCCTGCGCCGCCTGTCGGGGACTATATTTAATTTCCCCGACCGAATGTCGAAACGTCCCGGGAGCGCTTTGCCATGGGGCTTGTTATTCATTCCGGTTGCAGTCCCGCCGTGCCGTGGGCGTGCCACTGGCCGCCGCCGCCCGCAAAAACAATAGACCGCGCGAGAATTAAAATTTGGCCGTCGCCTGCTCGTGACGATGGAAAAGGGAAAAGGGGGTGGGGGTGCTATAAGCGAGCAGGGGGGAGGAAGGGCAAGGGCAGTGTGCCGGAAGAAGGGCGTGACGCGCCCAGAGAGCGGGGGACTGTTTATTTTATTCCGTGTTCACGATTTTTATGCATTAGCATTTATAAAATAAATGAACTCGGTGATAACTGGCGTCAATGATCATTATTATTATTCCTCTCGATGGTGATGATGATTGTGATGGCGTGGAGATTGTGCTGATGATGATTGCGAATGTTGATGTATTTTATCGCCGCGCGGCCGAAATAAAGCTTTTTGGAGCAGAGCAGGGCATTAGCTGCTAACGCGCGCTGCTCGCCACACCGTCCCCTCGTGAGCCCGTTTGGCGCTCATCACTTTTGTGTCTATCGACTAATGCAAATTCAGCTGCAGTGCCCAGCAGATAGTGCGCGGCTTTGCTTTTGTGCCGCCGTGGCCCCGCCGTGTTTCCCCTTCGCTTATTTTGGATGCCGCGCCACTGTTTCCCACTTCGAGCGGGCGCTGCTGCGATGCTCTCGGATGTTGTCGTTGACAATGCTCGTGACGTTCCCCGGCGGTCGTGTTTTGTCGTCGTTGGGTGAGGTTATGGCGCGGCCGTGCGCGCGCGTAGGTTAGGTTGGGTGAGGTCACGGATGCGGCGGCGCACGGCGGCGGAGCGGAGGAAAGACGGGTAAAGGGGAAAGGGGGGGATTTTTATAGCGTCTAACGTTTGCGCACTTTCATGTGTCGAAGGAAGAGAGCGATAGTAGTTAGCCTCGCGCGCGTGAGCGCTGGTGCACATATATGAGACGGCGAGAATTACGAGCGTGAGGCCAATTACATTAAAGTTGTCCACTCTCGCCGTAGAGTGGAAAACAGGCCTTTTTAACTGGACGCGATCCCCGTGGCTTGACACCGATGGGGAGGAAAAGGAGACCGAGGAGAAGAAGGTTTCAGTGGGACCGGGACGCCTCACCCGCGCCACCCGAAAAAAATAATGCAGCTGTGGCGAAACAGAACACAGAGTTAGGTTCCGTCATTAGTCCCAACGAACGCATGGACACGTGGACGGGTTACGCACATGAGTCGCAAAGAGATTGGAACTAATCTGGTCCCATTCAGGTGACGGCCGGGCTCGGCTGGCGCGAGGCGGTGGAGGGAGAGTGGGAGAGAGAGAGAGCGAGAGAGAGAGAGAGAGAGAGAGAGAGAGAGAGAGAGAGAGAGAGAGAAAGAGTGGGAGCGGGCGACCGCGCGCGCGAGTGGCCGCCCGGCCCGGCTCGGCAAGGCAGTCAGTGCAGACTTACTCCCGGTGCCGACCGGCTGGCCTGGTGGTCTGGTGCGAGTGTGTGTTGTGTGTGTTTGTGTGTTGTGCGTGTGTGTCGCGTGCAGCGTCGTGAAGTGTGTGCCGTGTCGTCTTGCTGCAGTGTCGTGCAAGTGCGCTCGAGAGGGCGCCCCGCGCGCGTGCGTCGCTCCCCGCCCGCCAGTGGATTAATTTTTCATACCGAGGATAATTCACAACCGGCGGGACACGATGCTGGAAGGTAAGGTGGCTCCAGGGCGCTGCTGCTGCCGAGCACTAAATAAGGGCTGCGGGCGTTAAAACACCCACTCTGCTGTTAATGTCGGGTAAACTCGATGACGCTGTTTGCGTTTCGAGAGGAAAGGGGAGGAGAGAGAGAGAGGAGGAGGAGGTGGTGGCTGCGCGACGCTTTCGTCCTCCCACGCGCCGGCGTCAGAGGGATAGATCTCCGGGAGAGGGGGGTGGGGGG